CTGGATCGTTTGTGCTTGATTTTTACTTTTTGGGGTGAAGCATGTTTATTGATTCATTGATGAGATCTTTGCTTAGGGACAACCAAAGGTTTGTCTTGGGAGCGTTTGATGTGTCTATTTTATATAGTATTTTACCCCCGTCCCTTGGTCATAATTAGTTGTGTTTTTGGCTCTTTAGAGCCACTTTTATTACTAATTGGTGTTTTATAGTGTTTTCGTAGATTTGGTAGACTCTTGCAGGGATTTACACTTTTGGAGTATTTTCTCGAGATATTTTAGAGCAATCACGAGCGCTAGAAAAGCCCGACCAGATTTTATAGCACAGGATGGGTTAGAGCCATCGAACCGGTGATTAAGGGCTCGGTATAGGTGATATCGGGACATTTGGACCAAGTAATCAAGACCCGAGGAGGAAACCCAGATTGGCCCAAAGAATTGGAGCCCAATCGTAGTCCAATTAATGGCCCAAGAGAGCCGCCCGGCCAAAAAGGCTGGTGCCCGGAGGCGCGCCCGGCCGGGCGGGAGAAGCTAAGGTCGGCGCCCGGTGACGCGCCCGGCCGGGCGCGAGAGTCTACCTGAAGAGAAAAAAGGCGCGCCCGATCCAGGGTGCCTCACCCGATCGGGCGCGTGTAAATATTAGGGGTTAATTTCGTCGTTTAAGTTTGTTTTAGTATAGGATTTGTACAGAGTATAAATACTCCTCCGTAATACGATTTTAAGCTCTATCTCTCTCTCTCTTTTTTTACTCTTTCATTACTCTCTTAATTGTTCTCTTAGATTTGCTTTCTCTTAAACCTTTGTTCTTAATCTACTCTTAATTCCAGATTTATTTTGGTAGCGATTTCTCTTCTCTTAATCTTAGTTGTTTATTTTATTCCTTTAATCATGTCTTACTTTATTGCTTTGATTAGTTTAATTTCTATTATGTGTGAGTAGTTTTTTTTCTAGGGTTTATAGGAATCCATAAATAATATGAAGGGGTGTTTTATTGTTGTTAATTATCAATGCTAGATTAATTTCCTATTGATTGATTTAATCCCCTGTGACTAGATTAGGCCTGATCTTTTATGGATGAGTTTGACAATATTGATTCGAGATTCGACAGATGAGAATTGATGTTTAGGTCTAGTTTCAATAGGCAGGTTAATTTATAAATGGTTAGGTCGATTTTCGAAAGATGAGATTTAATACCGATAAATTAATTGTGTGATTATAATACGTAGCGAAAGCCCTTTATAATCTGATTAATGTATGCATTGATGAATGATTATTATATTCTACCCTGGATTATTATTTATTGGTGAACCTATGACCTGTATCCTTTTATATATTATTTTCTCCTTATTTTTGATCTCCGTAGTGTAGTTTATTATTCTATTATAAATATTGGTTAGATAATTTAGATTATAATAATTAATTAGGAGTAGAAATACATGTTTCCCTGTGGAGTTCGACCCTATTTCCCTATCTACTTTAGTTAGAGGACTTAGGTAATTATTTTTGATTAGGGGATACGACTTTACCCTGTCACAATTCCCAAGGAACCTATAAATAGGGAGATTTCCTCCATTTGGAGGCACGTTTTTACCATTTATTACACATTTACTCTTTGAAAGACACATCTCGAGCTTGGAATCTGAGCAGATACCCACCTAAATTTCCGTACCTTTTTACTCCTGTTCAAGTTACTAACTTGATCATCGGAGGCGGAGCTCCAACCACCCGGAGTCTCCGTTGTTTTGCAGGTACAACTCACGTTCGACCAGACTTTGTGACGTAACTCTACCGAGGGATAAAAACACCCAAAACAGAACTAATGAGGGTCAAGAAATTATATTAACTGTTTTCGATCAAATTGAATCTGGAAGAGATCCAATGCCATTAATTGTTGGAGAGACTATGCTTAGTCTTGATGAATTAATGAAAATCCAAAAGCACCTGTTAGTTGAGACGATTAATACAAGAGGGGGGTGAATTGTATTAAGTTCCTAATGACTACTTTTTGCGGATTCATAAACAATGCATATAGGAACTTGCTAGAACACACAGATTTTATGAGGAAACCTTCCAGGGCCCAACTGGAAGTAAAACCTCGACCCTGCCTTAGGGATTTCAAACACACAAACTTCACTATAATAGGGCAAACACCAAGTTACAACCTATTAGACACGGACCTTTATTTTCACAAGATCCTCACTGGACTTGCTACTTGATAGGACCCTATCCTACCCAACCTAAGTACCACACTTAGATTCACTCGTACCACCAAAGTACTACACAAACTTCCAAAGTACAAACTGCTTGCACCACCTAAGTACAGAACTCTCAGCCTCACCTAGAAGCTTACAAAACTGTATGTAAAGCAAACAATAAACTCACCCAAATAACCCAACCCAATACAAGTGTACGGCACCTAGTATGATAGGTAAGCAATGCACGAAATCCGAAACTAATATGACAAGTTAGAAGCTTGGAAAACTTACACAATTATAGCACAGTGATTTCTCCACGCATAAACTCACAAAAACCTAAAATCATTTTGTTCTCTACTATTTATACAAATATCACTCGTATAGAAAGTAGGTTTTCTAAAAGATAAATAAGTTAACTTATCCTTCAACACGGTTTTATGTAAATCAAGTGGAATAAAATCTATTTCGGAAAATAAAATTAAAAAGATATTTGTTAAAAAGATTTATATTTTTAACAAACTGATTTGAAGAAAATAATCTTTTTAGAAAATCTTTTCTTAAAATCTATCTTTTATATTTTCCATATTATTTTATTTACCAAGACAACTTGTCACGCTTCTAATAAATTTCGTGCAATAACCTACTTATCATATTAACAATAATCTAGAAGATAAAAACCTTAACTAAATATAATTTCTACACCGAGCTTTTGTTCAGGTAGGTTACTTGGGTTCCCAGCTTGTTAAGTTCCACCAAAGAACTTAAGCTTGCTGTCTTTAAGTTCCTGTTAGGGAACGTTCCTGTTAGGGAACTCAGTTCTTGTTAGAGAACTTTTCTTCTGATTTGTTTAACTCCTTCAATAATGATCTTTTCATGTCTTCTTAGTTCCAGCTACTTCTTCCATCACCACGATCAACTTCACCCATACTAATCAAACACTTGAAAACCTTTATTAGTTGAGTTTGCTTTAGTTTAAGTTCCTCATCATCAAAACCTTTATGCTTCAACAATTTCCCCCTTTTTGATGATGACAAACTTAAGCAAACTCTAGAAACAAGTTAAACAAAATAGAAGGTCGTATTTTTGTGTTTTTTGTTTATTGACTGAAAGTAAACACACACTGAAATAAAAACAGAACAGAAATAACAAAACAAAAATAAACAAAACAAACAAAACAGAAATAAACTAAACTACTATAGCATCATATCAGAGAAATTTTTGATACTTTCTCAATTGGAACCCAGAACAACTTCAGCCTCCAAGTTTGCTACTTCTTTTCCCCCTTTTGGCATTATCAAAAAGTCCCGTTTTTCAAGTTATTAAGCATCTAGCCACAGCCCCACAAGCAATTCATCGAGTGTGGGAAACTGAAGGCAGCGCTGCTAAGGTACCTTAAGCAAGTTCCACTTTCCTGCATAAGTCTTCAACATATACATATACACACAAGTATAGGCAAAGTTCCAACTATTCATTAAACCCAAAATATTTATCATCATGTTGAACAATTTTAAAAATTTACATCCAAAATTAATTGTTCAAACACTAAAACATAAATTAAAATTGTTCATGACTGAGATAGAGAAATAGAAAATAGGCTAGGCTTGGATATAGGCTGGAAGGGGTATGATAGGCTAGGTTTCAAGGAACTCCAGAATTTTCTTGTAGTCCTCCTTTGTTTGTTGTGAAGAAGCTTCAGATTATCTTCAAGACTCTTGAGTTTCATAAGGAACTCCTCCTTTTTTTCCTATAGAGCCTTGTCCTGTTCTTGCTGAAACTTCTTTTGCTCTTGAAGTTCCTTGTCCTGTTTCAGCACCAGCTTCTTGAGCTCTTTTAACTCCTTTCCCTGCTCCTGCACTAACTTTTCCAGAGTTAACAACCCTTTCCATCCTATCCACCAATTCTGCAACTTGCCCATCGAGGATACCCTCCTCAACATCCAACTCTAAAGGTTGTTCCATGCTTGTCTAAGGAACAGAGCTGGCAGATATCCTCCTGCTCTTCCTTACAGGCTGTTCAGACACCTCTTTCTCTTTTCTCTTCCCTGTCACCTTTTCTCTCTTTTTCTCTCCCTTCTCTATTCTTTGAATTTTTCCTTTTACTACCTCCAAACTCAGTCCATCTAGTGTTTCCTCATTTAGCATATTCTCTAGCTTCTCATCAAGAGCACCATACCTACCCTTCAGAACCACTCCAGCATTTTCAAACACAGTTGACAAAATGGTTCCATAGCCCACTTTTGTCCTACTTAGAACAAAATGTGCTAAGTGTTGATGCATCAACGCAGGGAAATTAACTTTAATTTTCTTAGACAGACGGAAAATTACAGCCATATCCATCAAGCATGCCTCTCCCTTCTTTGCAGTTCTTGCAAAGATGGTTTTCTTAACTAAGTTGAACAACAACTTGTTCAACGAGTTCAAATCATTGTCACTCATGATCTTCTTCCCCCTTTGACCACCTAGGGCTTCAACAATGTCACCAGTTAAGTAATTTCCTACTTTGACTCTAGCTTTTCCCTTAATGTATGTTTCATACCCCTCATTCGGAGTTTTCAGAATTTTACCTAGGGTTTCAACATTTAATTCAATTTTTACACCAACGACTACACTAGAAATTACCCCTAATTTTGCTTGAAAATTTTGACAGAACTCGGTCATAGAAATTGGATACAAATAGTTTGCTGAAACTTTTGACAACAAGTATTCCCAGTCTTAGAACTTAATCAAATCAAGAAACTCTAGGAATCTTGCTTTCCTACACCAATCTAGATCAATTCGATGTCCTACAACATACCTTCCTGCCTGTGACTCAAGTTACCTCCTCTTCTTCATCTTCCTTTTCTGATTCTTCCTTCTCTGAAATGTTGGGATCTTCTTTGTCTTCCTCTCCCTCATTCATCTCTCCTCTTTCTTCGTCATCTTCTTTGGTCTCTTCTGAATGTTTCTCTTGAGCAAACTCGTCAACTTCTTCAATTTGATCCTCAAGAGACTTCTCTCTTTGTTTCTTTTCTTTCCACTCCTTCAGCCTTTGAATGACACTTGAAACATATGACTCTTCTTGACCACTCTTACTTTCCACTTCTTTAGGTTTTGGAGATGAGGTTTTAGGATTCTCAGGGGTTTTGGTTGAAGTTGAAGAAGGTTTGTAGTTCCCCATGGCTAAAGGAGATGTTTCCTCTTGAATGGTGTTTTCGAAGCTTTGAGCGTTTTCTGATGAGACGATTTCAGCAATGATGACCATTGTTGTTCTAGAGATGGTTTTAAAATTCAAGAGGATTTTTACTGGAAAGGGGTTAATTGATTTGACAGTCAGGTGAAACAGGTAGGCAAAATTAGCTTTTATAATTAATAAAGAGGTGTGAGGGATTTTAAAAGATTTCACTATTCAGTCATTAATTGAATAGATTCAATTAATATTTCCAATTTTAAATTCATAGGATGAATTTGCCAAAATACTTATCTTTCCAATTTCATTTACTTTAAAAGAAACTTTCTATAAATACACAATTGGAACACGCTTTTTACATATGTGTAATTGTAGACACCCATTTGTGTCTCCCCAAAACCAAACCCAGTGATGAGTACCTTTCACGTCGAATCATAATCGAAAGAAACGAAAGTGTGGAAAGGTTTAGCGTTGCGGAAAGTTTTATTTTCTTTTATTTTCTTTTCTCTTCTCTCTGTTTTTGAAAACTTTATTTTAAGAAAACAGCCAATCCAGTTTGGTTGGTCCATGATATGGTTCCAATAGTGGTTTAGTTGGATGGGGCTTGCAAAGACCTTTCTAACGATATATTATAAACCCAATTCCGTTGAATATTGAGGAAGTTATGGCCAATTTACTAAACTGGGCCCGGTTTGAGTTTTAAGTACGGCCCAATGATCTAGGGGAGGGCCTAATATGATTTATCATTCCTAATGTAATTAGGAATGGTTTTGGTCTTCTAGAACATTCTAGAAGGTTCTTATCATTCTTAATTCAATTAGGATTCTTTAGAGTTTTAATTAGATCAAATAGCATTTTCGACTGAAATTATATTATTTTATCTTCCAGTACGGGAATTTTATCAGAATTTCGAAAACGCGTTAAAAGCCGGTTTGGCGTCCAACCCCAGGCCTTGGCGCCTAGAACCAGGATTGGCGCCAGACGCCAGCCATTGGCGCCTGGCGCTAGCCACTGGTCCTGGCGCCAATGAGCCAGGGCTGGCGCCAAGGTGGTTTTGTGGTCTACAGACTCTGTATTGATAAATTATTTTTTTTTTGGCTGATATTCTCTATAAATATCGTATCAAAACTCTGTTTTCATGGACGGATTGTCAACACGAATACACCAACTATCTACATTTATTAATCAATTCTCATCAATTCTCTTCATTCATCATCTTTCGTTCATCAATTTTTAATAACATTGATTCTTTAGTATTCTTTTCTACTTTGCTTTTTAATACAAAATTCCGCATTCACAAGATCTTGATACACCTAGCCATATTCGAAGTTTCCTTCGCCCTAGACGTGAAAGGTTTTAATTTCTGAGGGTTTGGTCCCAAATCTCTCTTTCAATTATTTTAATTTAATTGTTTTGATTATTATTTTCCTTGAAGTTACTAACGTGTGTATTTTGTAATTAGAAAGAGGTATGAGGCATCCAAGTAAGTACTTTATTGATTTATTGATTTTATGATGTAGACATCATGTTTATATTGTTATTATGATATTCCAAGTATCATGTCTAGGGTATCTTTAATATCAAGTATGATTAAAAGTATGATGCTTCCTATATTCTCCCTAACATTTATGATTATTATTATTAATTATCATGATTATTTATTATGTTGCTTGACACATATTATATATTGTTATTGCTTGATCACCTTTTATTGCGGGTTAAAGGGAATTGGTATTTGCAATCACGCTTAATAAGATAATTAATAATCTTATTAGGGTTAATATGATTATAATTCAAGTGATCGCCAATAATAGTTTATTTGTGCATTAAATTCAACCAACATAGATTAAACAGGTTTAGGGTTAATCCTATTGATTGTATGTTAGTCAGAAAGCGCACATGAATACGAGCAGAATAAAGTAGAGGCCTATTATTAGGGCAGGTTCAATCTCTTTTAGATTGGATTTGTACCTTCATCCCCGAACCCTTATTTGGTTCATGACCTTATGGAGTTAACGATCTCTTGGATCGTTAAGGGGTGTAACCTTCACCTCGTGAACGGTTTACAAGTTCCTTAAAAACTTGTTGGCGACTCTTTTGCTCTATCTTCTTCCCTTTTGGACGCCACCGTACTTTAGTGTATGATCACAGTGGGGTTCGAGCTAGTGGGATTTTTAAGGCTTGAAATTATTCCCTACAGTAATGTACATATGTGTTCTACATATGGACATAACCCTCTGGGAATTCATGCTCTATCTACCCGATTGAACGCTCCTGGCAACAAAGGGTACATCTGAGATGTTGAATTCACCAAACCATGGAAGTGAGTTTTTTCTAAAAACTTGCGGTGTTCTATCCACACGCGTTAACCCTTCACGGTTAGGCTTCTACGCGGTGCATCTGAACAATTAACCATGGACCCTATTGTGGCGCTACAGCCCAGGTTTTGGCGCCAACCACCATATTGTGGCGTCAGTCCTGTCGCTTGGCCGACAGTTCGGATTATTTGTCGAGTCATCACCTAATGTCTAATTATTCAGTTTCCTGTTTAATTCGGTTAATTATGCTTAATTGAATCAATATTCGAGTTTAGGCACTAAGTCCCATGGTCTTACACAAGAGTCCAAGCATGTCACTTACACTCAACACACACACCATTACACATGTCTTGACCATGATTAAGGGAGTCTTGTGTGCGCGCGTTATTTTTCGTCATTTTTTTTAGGGGGGTAAGTCGGATATTAATCCTCCAATAAATAGTACTTAAGTTCCCTAAACACATGTACATTATCGCTCCCTAAAAATATGCATACTTTTTTTTTTAAACAAAAGCCATAAAGTCAAAATGATTCGAGTCAAGTAATTAAAACGCAAACTGGCTTAATCTACAGCGCGTGGTCAAGAAAGGAAGGGCGATTAATCAAAGATAACCTCTTCGTACAAGTCCAACTTTTTGACAAACCTATAGCTCGCAAGAGGAAAGCAAGAGTTATAATGGCAACTCAGGAAGAAGTTAACGATCTCAAGAACCAACTGGCTATTGTAACTGAGACACTAAAGCTTCTCGCACTTAAGATCGAAGATCCTGCGAAGCAACAACAGATGGACCTTATGCAAGAAAGCCTAAGCAAGTTGTCCAGCGACTACAAGTTTCAAGAACTCACATCCCAAGGGGTCTCGGTGGATAAGGACCTTCTTCCGCAGAAGTTCAGTGCCAACGACATCCCAAAGTTTAGGGCAATCGACAACCCCTACTTCCATCTAAGAGCATTTGAAACAATAATAAGTATCAAGGGTATCGATAAGAAAATTTTCCCTTCTTTGTTTTCGCTATCTCTCAAGACCGTTTGCCAACAATGGTTCTTTTCTCTTGAAAAAGAAAAGACCTCTACCTGGGAATCCATAGCAAACGCTTTCGTCAATAGGTACAAGTGCGACGTTCAAGTCGAAACTGACCATAGAGAACTTGAAATTCTCAAGCAGAAGGAGAATGAAAGCTTCACATCTTTCTTTAACAAGTGGAGAGAAACTTCAGCTAAAATGATTCTCGATTTGGTCGGCTAAATGCAAAAGGTCTTATAACTCCCATTGGACCATTTGGAGATCCACCAATCGAGAAGAGGTCGCCTAATTGGAACCCCAATGCACATTGCAAGTATCATCAAGGTAGGGGCCATTCTACTGAAAGATGTTGGAAACTTAAGGAAGCTATCCAAGACCTGATTGACAGTAATAAGCTGTCGTTGCCTCCTGCCAGTAAGAAACCGAGTATTGACAATGCACCTCTAGCTCACACATTGGTTATCTCCGATGAAGAAAGCGAAGTTGACCCCTCATCTCTCATTAAGCCTGTCAAAGTGACCAAAGAAGAAGAAGAAGAAGAGATCTTTTTCGATGTCGAGGATAATCCTCCAGAACTAGCAAATGAGGTAGAGATACGAATACTCACACTATATCTGAGGGAGACATCACAACTGTTACATGAAACTCTTAAAATTCTGAATGAACTTCGCATGGAATATGATCAAGAACCTAAGAGAGAATTCACACCAGTAAAAACGACTTATGAGGCAAAACACTTTCCCTTACAAGTCACCGAAAGACCCAAGAAGAGCAATAAAATTTATACTCCAATTGGGATCCCGTATGCACAAATGTTTAAAATGCTCTCCGAGAGTGGCAAAGTCAAACCTCTCGCACCGAGACCATTTGAATCATTAAAAAGAACAGATAGATATTACTGTCAATAGCATCAGTCAGGAAGACACACCATAGAAAACTGCTTCAAATTCAAGGATTTGGTGCAGAAAATGATTAATAGAAAGGAATTAGTCCGAATTCAACAAGAAGAGGATATAAATGTTAATGGAGTATGGGACAGTGATGAAGAAGATGTCTATCTAAAAGACATATTAGGACCTTCACCTTCCATATCATACATCATGGACGACATTTGGGCTGAAGAAGATTCATCAATAGACGTCCTCACAAGATCCGGGAGAATATAACATCCTGTTTCAACACAACCCATGCCTACCGTACAACAAGCTCCCATACCTATCATCGAAGACAATGACATTGTTAAACAATTCAAGAATACAAAAGTTGAGATGAATGTATGGAAGCTTCTAGCAACATCTCGAGAACATAGGTTGGCTGTGATGAATGCCTTGGATAAAATCGGGATAGATTCTAACACCACTCCTGAGGGACTAGCTAACTTCCTCACAAGTGATCTCCCTAGTCCAATTAATCTAATCACCTTCTTTGATAAAGATTTACCCCCGGAGGGTGACAAGCACTACAAAGCGTTAAACCACACAGTAGTCTGCAAAAGAATGAATGTTCCCATGACGCTTGTAGACAATGGATCGGCTATTAACGTCTGTCCACTTAGGACTGCGAGGATGCTCGGCATAAAGAATGAGGATTTAACTCCGTCCACACAAGGAATAAGAGCTTACGATAATACTCGACGTCAAGCTCTTGGCAAAATAACCCTAAATGTGACGGCAGGAGAAATAGAACATGCTACTACTTTTCAAGTGGTAGACATCAAAGCCTCATTCAATTTG